TGTAAAATCACTGTGGGCTTGAGGCCTCCACAGGACCTACTGAGCAACCCTCTTTCTTTGGAAAGGTTTGCGGTTTGTCACTAAGGCTGGGTATTGATACTAAGAAAACACTTATTTAAATAGTAGGCTGTCATTGGATACCTGCCCATTATTGTTATTACCTGCCCATTCAGAAATAAAGATTATAACCCTAGGTCTTCCTCTTGACCATTTCTACCGCATGGACTCATCATCCAGACTGATTACTCTTAAGTAATGGAGTAGATAATAATAATAAACAGTTTTGTCACTTTTCAGTGTCACAGACACTATTGCAGGTGCTTTTCCTTATTTGTGTATTAACTAATTTACTCTTACATCCAACTCTGTCAAGTATCTATTGTTAGTTCTGTTTTATAGATAAGGAAACATATACAGAAGCCATTGGGTTTTCAGTAAGGTTTTTTCAATTGTAGCATGCTCCAGGATTGATCATTTTTAATGCTTTAAATCCTTACTGTTGAGTAAGTAAGAAATGGCACTCACAAGTTATCTTTTTGTTTTAAGGGAATTGTGTCATACTCTTAAGTGGATGAGTGCTACCAAATTTGCCATTTTTTACTTATAATATGTAGCTAAAGTTATCTGTGATATTAGGTTAAGATTCGGTGAACTAATAGATATTAGTCCATATAGAACTTGAAATTATGTAATTAGGTAAGAATTTGAATATAAACAGTCTTTGTGATGCACATTTAAATGTGTTGAGTAGGTTACAATTTTAATGAGTACATTTATTGACTCTAGTCCTGTTAAACATTTCCAGCCAATTTCAAAACCAAATACAAAAATTAAAAAACAAAAACAAAATAATCCAAACCAGTTGCTGTCAGGTTAATTCTGACTCATTAGCAACCCTATGGAACAGGGTAGAACTGCCACATCTGTCTCCTGTAGAGCAATTGGTGGATTCAAACCAATGACCTTTTAGTGTTCAGACAAGTGCTTAATAACCATTGTACTACCCTTTATTTGGGGCTCTGCATTTGGACTATCTACATACAGTTACAGGGAATTTTCATTGTATTATTATCAAAGAAAGAGCAGGCTCACTGTCCAGCATTGTTCATAACAAGTGGTGTTATTGATGTGTTCTGCTATAAATTCATTGCTTTTTTATATAAAATTTAAATTCGTAAAAATCAGTCTGCAACATTATATACCGTTAGTTCCATTTATGACTGCTTAACAAATATTCAGCGATTACATACCAATTTTATGTAGTGAACTTTGGATATATTGTTTTCAAAATACCTATGTTGTAGTTCTCAGGTGCTGTCAATGTGGTTCTATAATGACCCTATTTACAGCAGATTGAAACCTTGTTTGGTCCTGCACCATCCTCACCATTGTTGGTTTGAGCCCACTGTGTTAATCCATCTTGTCGAGGATCTTCCTCTCTCTCTCTCTCTTTGTATCCCCTAAAAATTGGTTAAAATAATGCTTTAGCTTTGGGAAGAGCATGATGAAATGGAGCTTTTGCCTATTGTATATTTGAGAAACTACATAGTTTTGAGGAGTTGCAAGTTTGAGAAGAAAGATGGGTGAAAAGTATGGAATAGAGACAAGTATGGGTTTAGGAAATGGGAACTAAGTAATTTAGGTCAGGAAACTTTGAGAGTGCAGTTGGAAAAAGAAAGGTGGAATTAAAGGCATCTATGGAATTGGTTTTTTAGAATTTGGCAGCATGCTCATATATGCACCTGTATGTTTGTGTAACCTAACAAGTAATTGTAGTCTTAAACCCATCGGATCGTACTTCTTCCAAATGTTCTTTGTTCCTACTGGACATTTTGGTGCTTCCTGGCTTCTCTGTTTCTGCTCACACCTATCTTTAACGTATCCAGTGACTTTCTTTTCTCACCAGCCACCTGTCTGTGCCGGTGTCTTTCGTTTCTGAAACACCTTCCTTTTTGGCCTAAGTCATAGTCTCTTCTGAGAGGGGAACTTTCATTGGCAACAATTCTTCTCTTGTCATTTTTAGGAAATACACTTAGAATGTTCGGTCACCGTGGGTACTACCTTCACCCCCAATTTAAAAACAACTCCACATTTTGAAACCAATGCCAAATTTTAAGATGCATCTTCTAGAATCAGAATAATAAAATGATGAGTGGAGTTTTAATTATGACATAATCTGGAAGTCACTGGTCAGTAAGTTGGAAAATATCACCTGTGGTATCACTTCTCACTCTCTGGAGAGAGTGGTTCAAATTAAGTTGTTTACATGAAAATTTAAAGTCTTAATAAGTGTATCTCTAATATGAAAGTGTACTGTTCGTAGGGAAAATAATAAATTCCAAAGGCCCCATGTTACAGTACAAAAGCAAGTGCTAACAAGGCTACTGACAGCATACATACATGCCCCCAAATGAATTAATTTTTTGTTAACTGAATGCATTTCACTGATAAACCTTTTTAGCAATAAACAAAAGGCTGTAGTCGATTATCACCTTCCTTGGAAAGTGAAATTTGGGCAAAATTTTTTGGCAGAATTAATAGGAATCTTAAACATCAAATATCCATTTTGAGAAGACACAGTGAATACAAGTTATATTGCCTATGTAATGGTAATATATCTAAGATCTGTCATTGTTTGGCTTAACCAAATACGGTACATATAATGATCAGCCAAGCCCACAAACTATAGCAAATATTTCAGGGTTCAAATTAGAAGAACAACTAAAACTGTCAATAAAGGAATTGTTCATATTAAATTAGTCTATAGCCAATTGTTTTTCTGTGCATATGCTTATCCCACACTCTTTATAAAGTAAAATTGTTATCTTTTTAAGCATTAAATAAGTTATAAAGTATAATCTGCTTTATTCAATATTAATGAATAACCTTTTCATTCCACATGTGTATTTTTTAAATCTTCATACAATTCATTTATGTTCTTAAGTTTTTTTTATTATAATAAACAGTGTTACAGTTAAACTTTTTGTTAGAGCTATATGTTTGTCATTATTCAAAAGAGCTCAAGTGAACTGTAAAAAATTTTTGCTTCATCCTGAACAATTCTGATTAGGAACTATGATTTAGGCAATTTATATTTGATGGGAGGCTAGATGTCTAGCTTACTTTGTTTTTGATCAGTCAGGATATTAATAAAGAATATTTAAAAATATATCTGGCTTAATAGGATTAAAAACGAAGTACCATATATACTCGAGTATAAGCCAACCGGAATATCAGCCGAGGCACCTAATTTTACCACAAAAAACTCATTAAAATGTGCTGGAAAAACTTGGCTTATATACTCGAGTATATATGGTAAGCATTTATCATCCTAGCTTGGAGATAGTATTACTAGCATATCTGTTATCATTTGAAATTCATCATTCACAAGTAATCAATCAAATTCAATAGCTGTATTTGAGTAGTCTTCTCTGTTTGTTTGTTTGTTTCTCTATTTGTTCAGTGGGAGTCTATCGTGAGACTTTTATGTTCAATAAAGTTATTGCTGTTGAGTCATTTCTAGAATGAGAACTAAATATCTTAAAGACCATAACTAATTTCAGGAAATTTAATATGTATATAACTTATGGGGAAAAAAACTTGGTATAAAATAAAGGGTGTGTGTGTGTGTGTGTGTGTGTGTGTGTGATTGTGATTGTGATTAAACCACTAGAGCAGCGGTTCTCAGCCTGTGGGTCACAATTCCTTTGGAGGCCGAACAACCCTTTCACAGGGGTCACCCAATTCATAACAGTAGCAAAATTACAGTTATAAAGTAGCGATGAAAGTAATTTTATGGTTCGGGGTCACCATAACATGAGAAACTATTATAGGGTCACGGCATTAGGAAGGTTGAGAATTACTGTACTAGAGCTTTGGGAATTACAAAGATGGGTTAAATAAAGTCTGCTTCCCTGAATAGTTTGTTGACTTGCTTTTCCCTCAAACATTCCCTGAACTGGATTTTTGTCATCAATACATGTGTTACGGATGTCAGAATTTGCGCCATGAAGCCTAGATTTGAATTTGGCGCCATCCCATTTGGTTTTGTTTTTTAAATCTGAGTCCAATGAGTCTGGTGCCTATCCAATGCCCTACACACTGAACACTGTGTTTGTGGTAACTGAGGTTAATAGTCACCGTTGAATGGAATATTCACTGGGTTTTTTATGAAATAGTGTCACAAAATGAGTATTAGAGAGTCCAAATGTCTTGTAAATTACTTTTAGTGGTTAAGCTCATGAAAAATTTCTCTGCTTTTTGAATGCAAGGGGACTTAAAAGAATTTTGTGGGGAAAAATTCTATTATCTTTCAGTTCAGTTTTTCCAAGAAGTTTCTGAAGACCCCTGGCATTGGAGTATATTACAAAAGTGGCATTAAGTGTAGGCAAGGAGACAACATCATATTGACCATTTTGAGAATTGATGTGTTTGGCTACTGTATTTTAGTCTCGTGTGCTCAATAGTGCTAATTTAGATGCCACATCTTAGTTGGTAGATGTAGACTTCTGAGAAAACTTGGTGTAAAATAAAGGTATCATGAGTAGGTAATTGTTGAGAAGAAATTCTGAGTAGCTATTGAGGAAGGTCATTGAGACAGGTTAGTAGAGGTGGACACAGCACCTGCCTGGTATTTGGATGGATGATGCATCCTTCCCTGGCTGGAAGATGGAGCTGACTGGTGGATCAAACTCTCAGAGGGAAATATTCTGAATTTAGTTTGTTTATTAAAATTCTATTGTAATGAAGTACTATTGTGTGTCGTGATTTAACTATTAAAGGTAAAATGATCAACAATGATTATTATTACCCTGCCAAGAGTTTTCTAGTGATTTTTTTTAATGTGAACTCTATTTTCAGTGGTCATCTTGTAAACTTGTGTATTACTTTAAAATGTGTACTTCTTAATTATAGTATATCCAGAGTTAGAGCGCAGCGTAATATATGAATGAGTGGTTTTCATTTTGTATTTGTTGAGGTCTGTCTTTATATTTCTTCAGGTGTATGTGAGATTAAGACCATTCTTCAGGGAATTCCTGGAACGAATGTCTCAGATGTATGAGGTAAAAATGCTTAAGCTAAATATGTATTTGTTTTTGCTTTGTTCGGTATACTACCCATCTATAGATCATGTATAATGGTTATTTCCTTTTCGAATTTGTAGATCATTCTTTTTACTGCTTCTAAGAAGGTGTATGCAGACAAGTTACTGAACATACTAGACCCAAAAAAGCAGCTGGTCAGGTAAATTTAATTGAGGAATAGTGGGAATGTCTTTCACACTGATCTATGAAAATTATTATGGTTCTATTTAATTTTAATGGCCATTATACATTGGCTTCATCTGGAGAGAACTGTTTTCAATGGTGAAAATAAATAAAAATTTTGAGCCCTAAAACTCTTACAACAACTAATAATGATAATACAGCTCCAGACAATGGTTCTTTAAAAAAAATACAGAGCTTGAATATATTTATTCACCATGCCATCTGTGTTTTACATTTCTCTGGGAACTGAGAAGGGAGTCAGGGTGAGTGAACCATTGTGCACCTGGTGTTTTCACTTTAAGTCTCGGAGGTACTGAAGTTTCATGGTACATCGCCTTTATAGTTAATTTAACAGAATGGACTGAAGCACGTTTGTTTGCATTTTTTAAGAGCAAATTTATTTCTTCATGAAAAGAATATATAACCTGAATAGTAATTGGGAATTACAAAAGCTCTCATTGCTAAGGTTGTTCTAATCCAGACTCAGTTCTTTGTGTGCGCCCTTGAATGTGTTTTTAATTAGATAGTACCGCAGATGATTTTAAAGTTTCATAGTTCAGTCCATCTTTATCAACTGAAGTCGGAGATATTAACACTGTAGTAGTCTTGCTAAATACTCTATAATTTAAGTGTTAATCTTTGAGGTTTTGACTAGAGCTGGAAAAGATCCCATAAACACTTTAATGGCTGGATTTTAACTTTCTCCCACAGTATCTCACCTAAACTTAATTTTCTACTATTGATAAAACAAAACAACCATTGAACACATTGCCGTTGAGTCAATTCTGACTCATGGCAACCCTATCGGACAGGGTAGTTCTGTCCCTATGGGTCTCCGAGACTATAAATCTTTACACATACTCCACTCTGCCACCAGGGCTGTTTTTTGTACTGTTAAAATATCTTTACTTGAATGGGTCCACTCTTTTCTAGCTTACACAGGTAGGAGACTTGCTGATTTTTTTCATTCTAAATTCAACTGGAATATCTTTTTTAATTAATACCCCTAAAATCAAGTTTTCCTATAGTCCTCATTATACCTTCTTTATGTATAAGCTGCTTAAACACACCTGAGAAATGGCATTTTCTGTTCTCAGAAGTTTATTGTAATGTATGCCCATTTTACCTAACTTTTATAAAAGCATACGAATTGCTTTGATCACTTCATTGCTTCTGAAGGTTCCTCTTCAGCACCTCTAGTGTTATAAGGGATGAAAACTTCCTTCTTGGGGCTTTCGTTTTACTGAGTGACAAAGCCTACTGATGCTCTTTTAATACTTCATGAATCAACACCCCTCTTTTAAACTATTTTTATGTCATTTAAATCTAAACGTTTCACATTTGTTTTATATTGATAAAATTTGGAAAAATCGACCAGGAAAAACGTTTGAATGACAGATTTAATGTTATAAATGTGTTGAATAGTAGTAGATTTAATTTGTTATAGTGAATTTGTTAAAATTCTTTATAATTTAACACTACATTTTGGTGATAAACCAAAGTTTCTTAAAGCATGGTAATATTTGGCTGTAAGGTTTAAGCAATTGCTAAGAATTTGTTTAGTCAAAGGGTAGCCCAAAGTTTGGACCCATATTTGTACTTAATCCCATAATGAGAGAAAAGTCCTCATTTTAAAATCTGGTTGGTATGTGTATGTTTCAGTATATGCTGTATTTTTGTGTGTGATTTTTAAAAATTATTTTTATTTTTAGGCATCGACTTTTCCGTGAACATTGTGTTTGTGTACAAGGAAACTATATAAAGGACTTGAATATCCTGGGAAGAGATCTTTCAAAAACTATAATAATTGACAACTCACCACAAGCCTTCGCATATCAGGTAGGAAAGGGTTACTCAGCAATTCATATTGGGACAAAAATTCAGTGAGGATAAATGCTGCCAAGCAGAACATGATACGAGAATATACTTTTTACTGGTAGAATATCTTTTGAGTATTACCCTTTCAAATTAAAGTACTGTTAACTGCATGGATTATAAGTGTTAAATTGATAATAACTCTTGTGGAAGTTTCACTTCACATGAAGTACAACATAAATGAGTGAAAATCTGTGTAAGACCTAACTGAGATATACTTCCTTCAATAACATTCTTATCAATGATCTAATCTTAAATTTTACCATAGACATGTTTGAGGTTTTTTTTAGCTTAATCATTTTTGGGGGGGCTCGTACAACTCTTATCACAATCCATCCATCCATCCATTGTGTTAAGCACATTTGTACATTTGTTGCCCTCATCATTCTCAAATCACTTGCCTTCCACTTGAGCCCTGGTATCAGCTCCTCATTTTCCCCCCTCCCTCCCCACTGCCCCCTCCCTCATGAGCCCTTGATAATTTATAAATTATTATTATTTTGTCATATCTTGCCCCGTCTCCCTTCACCCAGTTTTCAGTTGTCGGTTTGCCTCTCCACCCCACCCTCCTAGTATCTCCACTCTCACCACTGGTTCCAAAGAGATCATCCATCCTGGATTATCCCCTGTGTTTGAGAATTATAAAAAGCTTAACCAATGTCTTATGCTATGGTCTTTTTTATTTAACACTTTGAAATTTTTTTATAAACAAGCCTTTAAAGAATTTTGTGCCTTTAAATTTTTTTTTAAAAATAACTATAATAGGGATGAGCCATCCTTACAGGATGTACTGTATCATATATAAATATGTTCGTGAGGTATATTGTCTGTAATTTGCTTCAGAATAAACCAGTGCATTTTCAGAATGGGAGAATATGGAGATGAATTGGGGTGTAGATAAAATAGAAGTAGTCTTATTTCTATGTGTGTTTCAGATGTCCCTAATAAAAAGTATGAAAGGAAAAATTTATTGTTCCTGAAATGTGTTATATTAGGATACTACTTTTTCTTTTTTATATTTTGAAATATTTGCAGTATTTCATCTTGATTCCTAGATGAATGTTTTCAAGTCTTCCATCCTGTTATTAGACTCTACAGTGAAATCCCATTGAGTCCATTTGTTAAGCAGATTATTGCCCATGTAAAAGTGAAAGTATGTGAATTTTAATAGTCTTGAGTGCTCTCCATTTAGATTGGCGCTATCCTTTCATTGACAGTACCTAGCATTCCTGGACTAATGGTTCATCATTTTCTTGAATAATGGAATGTGTTTAGTTGTGCTATAGTGTGTAAAACAGGATCGGTCTTTCTTGCTTAGCTTTATATATACTTCAGATTTATACCAGAAACTCAATTAGGCATCACTGCATTCTTTAGTCCCTTATACTTTGAGTTGTCTAAGAGTGTAGCACCGCACACTCTGAAGTGTGGAGCCTCTCTTCAGATTTATGCAGGACCCCACAAGGTGGCAGCATATGCTAAAAACAAGACAGCTTCGTGCTACTCCAGGTGGGCAGGCTTTGTCCCAAGGATCACAAAATGGTTAAATCTGTTTCTTTTTAAAACTTTACCAAGGCAAAATATAAGTAAAATGATTATTGAATTATTATCGTTTTAGCTTTCTAATGGAATCCCTATAGAAAGCTGGTTTGTGGATAAAAACGACAATGAACTCCTAAAACTGATTCCATTTCTGGAGAGGCTTGTAGAACTGGTAAGTATATCATTTTGGATTTTTTTTTTCATTTTTCCTCTTCTTAGCCCAACTATATTGAAAGAAATCTCCTTTATAATTTATTTTGTATACTGACTAAATCAATTGTTTGGGGTGATTAAGGAAAAGATGTGTACACTTTTTAACCTTATATATTGTACTAAAATTATACTTCTAAGTATTCAAAACTTCATAACTTGAATGTTTTAACTTTAATGTGTTAGTGGGTTTTCTCCTACACGTCACCCAACAAGTTGTTAGAAATAGCGTACAGTTGTTTACACTTCATACTCAGGTCTAGAATTAATGCTTATATTAATTAAACTTTATTCTGGGGATTTTTACCATGTACTGATAGATCCATTTTAAGACTGTTTTATAAAATAGAAGTGAGTGCCCATCACCTCTCTTCTCATTTCTTGGTTTGGCCTTTTATTGCTTAATTGTTCTTACAAAATTAAACCTTCCATCTTTATGTTTAGCAGACTAGCTGTGCGTAAAAGAGTGATAGGTTTCCTCTGCAGAAGAATGCTATGGATCATAAAGGGAGCTACATGATCTTTCATTTCTACTTCCCTATGAGCTTTTTGAAGCCCCTTCGTGTCTTTGAAATACTTTGAAATACTTTTAATAAAGTATTGTCTTTTTTCCATACAGAATGAAGATGTCCGACCTCACATCAGAGACAGATTTCGCTTGCATGACTTGCTGCCCCCAGATTAAATACAAAGACTTGTCAGATCACTGAAGGGGGAGAGAATGCAGAACCCTTTTGGACTAAGACAAAAACATTGCCATTACTGTTGAAATTTTGCATTTTTGTACCCCGTCTTGCTTTTCTTATCTTTGGTGCCCAATGATAATCAAGGGTTACAGAGAGAGACTTTATCTCAAGATTGAACACATGCAGTAGGTAGGCTAAAACAGAAGAGTCTTTAGAACTAGTGCAACTCCAGTGAAGTTTTTTTATGTACAGGACATCTGCAGTTTATAAAGAATTCTGTTTCTGCCACCAGCAGTTCGACCTGTCGTCACACAGGATTTTATGATAATGACAGAGGTGAAAATGGACTTTGTTTTCTCTCTGTTTGGTGCTCTAAGTGGGTTTGTAGCCACTTTTCTGTTACTTTTAAGATTCTCATTTCAACAGGAATGGCCAGTAAAAGTTGTTTTATTTTTCCTGTTAAGGTTTATAACCTTTTTACATTTTTGACCTGTATTAGATTAGATTTTCATTATGCATTCCTTTTAGTTGAGGCGCTTCCTAGTTTTCTGGAAATAGTTTTTAGTTTTTTATTATACATTTGGATGGCCGTTTTCCTGCTTTGTCTGCCTGCATATTGTATATTTGTTTAAAAATATTCTCTACTTTTAGTCCATGTAAGTTTCATTTAGAAAGACATACATTTATATTTTGTTTCTGTAATATTCTACTGTAGGTGAAATCTTTTCCAAAATCAAGAGACTGGGTAGATATGAATATATGAATGACTAATATTCAAAAGATGTAAACCATTGTGATAGCATGTATTCCAGACGGTAATATCTTGCAATGGCACACTGATTTAATAGATAAAGGTATACCTCAGACTTCACTGTGCTCACCAGTCTTTGAGGAGATGGAGTCGGGTGCCTGTGGGCTTGGTTTGGTGACCGCTGCCTTTGGCCTGCTCCAGGAATGAAGTATTCAGCACAGTGGCTCAGTGTTTTTCGTTACTTTGCATGGGCTGGTCGTACCTCTGTTATGCTCTGGGTTACAATCGATTCAAAACTACGTGTAACAGGCTTGGTACCTCACAGTAGCTATGCATAATCCTGTGGCACAGTACACTCCCCAGCCACCGACACAGTTAATATGCTCTCATAGTGGTTTTCTATGCTATATGAAAATGGTCTCCAAGCCTTGGCTCTCTAATGCAGCTACCATAAAGAGGTTGATATTTTTATAGTGGGGTGTAATCTCCTTTTCGGGAGGCTTTTTATGGAAGGTAGAATTTGTAAAAGTTAGTATGCTTTGCCTCTCGACTGCATTAACATGCCACAGGCTCAGACTGTTTTTGTGTAAAGGATGTCAAAGAACGGCACTTTTTCTAAAGAGAAGTTTGATATTTTGTATGCTTGTTAAGAAAGTACAGTATTGGAAATTAAAGGTGGACAACTGATAATTGAGGAGTATGTCAATTAATTTTTTATGTATATTACCTGTTTACTTGTACAACTTTCTTGTACAAATTACATGCAGCTTCATTTTCAAATGAGTCCTTAAAATAAGGAAATCTTTTTAGGAAAACATTTAATTTTGTATTTTTGATTTTAAAGGCATGAGTATGTCCATTTTCAGTGTATTAATGAAGATTTTAACTTTTCATCAGGTTGAGTGTTTTCTTCCTATATTATCTGTTGTGTATGTAGTTAGCATATTGTGTCACTGAACTGTTAAAAAAATTAGCATGTAGAGCAAGCTGTTTTGTGGAAAATCCTTATTCATTAAAAAAATAATCATGGCAGATTTTCTGCAAAAAAAAAGCATTTGCAATTCAGAATACTGATTTTTTTTTTTAATTATTTAAAGAAAGGTATTTTGCTTGCAGGAAAAAATACTAGAGATTCATTTTAATGAGAATCTTTGAAAATGTATTTATCTTTAGGGCATCTGGGCATTTTTATGCTGTTTGTCTTCTGTCTTTCTTGAAATAAAATGTACATAACGTTACCTTTACATATGCTCTTGCTCAAAATTGTAAACCTGGTTACATTTCTCCCTGCTCCCTTCCCTTTAATGCTCAAGCAAGCAAACCCCAAAACCCATTCAAGGTTTGTACTTTCAGTGGGCATTGTAATTGCTGGAAGTTTGTCTGGTTAAGTCAGTATCATTTCAAAGGGCTTTCCCATACTCCAAGGAAAATACAAGTCTATTATACACTGTGCCTGCGAGCACTTTAACAATGAACACCAACTTTTAACTAATCATTTGATTCACGGGAAAGCTGTTTTCAGTCCCACGCAAGGAGAGCTAGAAGTCCACTTACAAATGAATCACACGTAGCGTAGCTTCTGTAACGGAACGGAGGAATTTTATATGGCCCGAGAACATCCGACAATGATTCCGTTTTTCCTTCATTACTGTATTGGAGTCATTTTAAATTTGTTAATACAAAGCTTTAAATAACCTCTTGTTATTTAAAGAGACCATTTGTTGTCCAGCTTTCCTCCACCTATATAAAAGCTTCATCTTTCCATTCTTTTTGTTTTTGGTGCGTGTTATCTTAAACACTTGTATTTAATTAAATATAACTGTATATTTTATAAATTGAGATACGCCCAGCCCTTCAGCTCACAAAGGACATGTGAACTGTTAAGCGACTGACTAGTAAATGGTGATACCTGATGGGACACAGCAGAAGTGACCTGTGTCCACATGACCACTCTCAATACATATTGAAATTGTGGTATTTCCAATGATAGATGTCTGACTTTTAAGACATCCTTTTAAATATTTGTATCATTGTTAGGATGTTCTAATCAGTTGTGTTTTTTAATTCCATGTAATATATGTAGCTTTGATCAGATTATATCACGATATTTCTCCTTGGGTCCTAAAAGAGAGTTATGACAATTCGTAAACTTAAATTGTTTTATATTAGCTAGTATATGTATATTTATTTACCTGATGGCTTTATCTGTTTCCCAATATTTGTTTGGGATTGTTGAAACCATTGTAACTTCTATAAATGGCTATTTTCTTGTAACTGTCAGTGAAATGAATATGTACATTGTTTGCTTTTTTATATTTTTCTGGGTTTTTTATTTTTGGTTTAGGGTTAGACATAGAATGGTTTTAAAACAAAATGCCTTTGGCCAATGACTTTTTTAGCTAGATGTTACTTTCAACCTTGTACAGAAACTCATTTTCATTGTTCTGTCAGCTTACCTGAAAACAGAGACTTCATCTCATCCATGAAGAAAGCATTTCATTACTTCTACAAATCTTTCCAGCGAGCACGCACACAGTTCTTCGTAAGGACCAGATCTCTCCCACGTCCGCGTCAACCACATGCGGCTGAGATGTGAAGGACACTGAAGCCCTCGTGACTGTACTACTATGATGGTATTATATACTGCATCAAGAGCTAGTGACGGTTCTCTAGCCCGGCTTCTCTTTGTCTTCCTGGGTATTTATTTGTTAGTTATCTCTCTCAATCTTGTCTATCTAAATTAGTTAAGAGTTACCCATCGAGTAACTATGCCAAGCAACTAGGAAAGAATGTTTATTTCCCCTTATAGGGGAAGAGCGGACTGGGAACAAAACCGTGTGGGCCCGAAGGCCTGGGGTTGTTATTCCTTCACTCTTACTCCTCTCGTGAGCTAGATTTGAATGTCGTATTTTTTCAGTGCCGATACGCTTACGTTATTACTTTGATGTCTTCCCTGAGTTGAAAGCCTGCGAAAGTACGTTCTAAGAGTTCAGAACAAGAACCACAAAACCAATATTTGTATTTAGATGCTACTTCAATTATTGGAATCTAAGTATCACGAGGCAGCATTTTTATAACATGTTTCTCTGGATCTTGAGCTGCAATCGCCCGGAAGCCAGAGTTCTGGGGATGTAACGTGTTTGGTGATCCTTTTTAAGAAGGGGTGAGAACAACGAACGTGCAATAATTCGTTTGAGAATACAATTTTGAAACCGGTGTTTTTCATCAGTAGTTCCCAACCTTGTGTGTTAGGATTACTTTGAGGCCCACCTCATGGAAACTTGCGTCACTGAGCCCAGAGGGGAGCCTGGCAGTTAGGCGCCTCTGAGAGCTAGGTGTGGGAAATCACCTTTAAAGCACGTATTGTAAAAGGCAGCTCTCTTTGCTTTTTTTAAAAGAAACTGGGCCCAGGTTTCACAGGATCTATTCAAGATACATAGAGGAAGAATAAAGAAAATTTAGGCAACTGCTCACTATCATTTTTGTCATATTAAAAAAAATTTTTTTTGCATTTCTAGCACTTGAAATAGCTCATCATATCTACAGTGGAAGGACATGTCCCTGAATGAAACCATTATATATATATTAACTGTAAAATATTTCACTATTTTTTTATTTTATAAATCTTTGTAGAAATAAGCAATGGAATACTGCTTTCATCTTTTGAATGGGATTTTTCAAGGCACTGTCCTTTTGGCATTAAGGTAGGGGGGAGTTGATATTCTCTTTACCTGTTTCCACGAAAATCAATATAAAGTCATGGACATTTAAAAATCTCAATTTAATTTCTACTTATTTACTATGCAGTATAGCCATGAACAAGTAATGTAGATTTAGTTTTATCATTCAATGCCCTGCTCACCCTACCTCACAGGGTTGTTGTGGGGATAAATAAAACTTTCATGGAAGCACTTTTCTTTGATGATATTTTATCAGCCCTTGGAAACAATATAATTTCTAACAACTTATATTTGTACCGTGATTTTTTGTGACAAATCTATAAATAGTTTGCTTTTAATATTGGTCTTTAGGACCAACAATCGAAACGTGGAGTGGGATCGGAGATCAAGGCACAGCATAAGTCAAAGAGAAGGTTACCCTGAAGTACAGGGGTATGGAATAGGGAAGGTGCTTCAATCTAAGTAGTCTGCAACATTTTTTAATGTCTTCATATTGTATAATTATATTTATCAATCAATGTGATCAGCCAGTAATACATGTGCTTACAAAATGTAAAAGGTATAGAAAGAAACTAATAGTTTTTACTAAGAAAATTTGAACCAAGTGTACTGCTTTTACAGATTAGAAAATCTAGAATCCAGGTCTCTTAGTTACCATCCTGCAAAACAAATGCTTTTGAAAGGCATTTTTAATTTTTGGATCTACAGTGAGCAAAGGGAATGAAATGATCTGACCTGAGAAGTAGAAATAAGGTGGCAAGACAGAACGAGATTGGAGAAGTAAGCTGGGGGATTTGTGCTGGATATAGTGAGATTTCACTGGAGCCAATGTAGCTGTAGTAGCGCTCTGGTCCCACCTCAGTATGAATTCCAGAGACCCTACTAACCTCATCCAACTCCAAAAGGTTGGTGCATTCAAAAGAGACTCACTGCTGTGGAAATAATTTTAAATAAAGGGGCTTCCGATTAGTGCACTTGATCAGAGCAAGCAGCATTAGTTGGAGTCATGTCCCGAATTTAAATCCCAGCTGTCACTAGGTCTTCGAGCCTCGATTGGGTGATCTGTAAAGTAGCTGGGCTGGGATGTACTTTTCAGAATTCTGTTTCAAAGCTTGAGGGTATACTATAAACCAAAAGGCAATATACTCAGAGCAGTGAAGGCGTTTAGTATGAGCAGGAGAAATGGAAAGGACTGTCCAGGGCCTGCTGTGTGAAAACAGGGCTGGCGCAGGCATTACAGTCAACGAAGGCAGTTGGTACAAATGGGGAGCCTGTTCAGTACAGTAAGTTGGGGAGTAAGGAAGAAACTGGAGTATTGAATGGTTTGAGAAGTTGCTATTGGCAGCAAAGCTTTAAAATAATGGTGGTAAGGGGGAGCCCTTCAGCCGATGAGCCAAATAGGAGCAGGGGCTACCATACCATACTACAAAACATTCAAGAAGTTCATGGAGGAATTCCTTATCTTTCCATTTTCTCATGAACTTTAAAAACCACCTCATATAATAAGTGTTAATGATCTGAGTCGTGTAGTGTGAAGGCAGTTTAACACTGCCTCCCAATAGTCCAGATACTCTGAATACGTGAGTAGCAGGGTGACATGGAGCTGACCTCGAGCCCATCTAGTAGTGGAGGTTGATAATGTCGGGAAAAGGGTTCAACAGCTTTGACAAAGCTAACACAATCGAGTTCGTGGGGCAATACAAAGGCTTCACAGTTACTCCCTGAAAGATTGTATGTTTGAGTCCAGGCAGAGGTGCCTCTGGAAAGCCCTGGCAAGATGTTAGACATTCAACCATTGAAAACAATAGTTCTATTGGTAATGATATAAATCATGGGTGGGTTTTCTTGGAAAGAAATGTGTCATTTAAAATCCCGAGACTTAAAAATAAAATCCTGAGACTATCAAAGGGATCTAAAGTCAGGTAATGGGAGTGAGGGAGTGAATCTAGCAGGGGAGTAGAGATTTGTCTTAAAAGCCACTTTGCTGAGTAGGTAGGGATGTGCAGGAAACCAGCGATGAGCTAATCCTGCAACTTTCCACACACTCCCTTTAAGATGGACAGGCCTGGAGCCTGAGAAACTGGTAAAGTTCTGGAGGAGCGTGGCTGGTCTAGTTTACCAATTTGTGTGGATTTGGGGCACTCCCCAGTACACGACGTGTTCTTCCCATTGGCCAGACAAAAATGGGAAAGTGTTCTCTGATTTTATGGCTTCCTGTAATTGTAAGTATGCAAAACTGGGAATTGAACAGAGGTGGATGTGGTTTTTCTTTGCCTTGTAAGATTCTTTGGTACATAGAGGTTTTGTTTAAATTGGGAAAAAAAACATAGCTCTAAGCATCTCTAAGAAAGATGAGACTTTCTATTCACCAAAAGAGTTAGTCTCAGAAACTCATAGGGGCAGTTCTGCCCTGTCATAGGGTCGCTGTGAGTCGGCATTGACTAGTGGCAGTGAGCTTGTTTGGGGTATTCGATTACATATATGTCTATATAATTGGTATTAAATTTAGATGTATATGTAATTTAGTGACCGTGGGTTTTTACCCGGCTATATTTGTGACTGAGGAGCCCTGGTGTAGTGCTTGTGCATTGTGTTGCGATCCCCATAGCCTGCGGTTCTTGCGAACCATCAGCAGGTCCAAGGAAAAGACTGGGCTTTCTCCTATAAATTACACAGTCTGAAACTCACAGGGTGTCTCTGAGTCAGCACTGAGTTTGGCTTTTTGTTGTGGAGTTTTGTTTTGTTTGTATTTGTGATTAAAACTGTGAGGTCGAGAGAAGAGACTCAATTCAGTCACTAGGCCAGGTGGCTTGCAAACAGCAGTTTCTTTCTTGATTGGGTGCAGGCGGACTGAGACAGAACGGAATCAGCCTTGGTGCCTTTATATAATGCACAGAAATGAGGAATGGGCCGGGCCCTTCTGGGTTGAAAAAAATGCATGTTCAAATCTTGTTGGTCAATTGGCATCACGAGAGCTCCAGGTAGTCATTTCCGGTCGTCAACATTTGTGGTTCGCTGATTCATTCATGGTCGTCGTAGTCCTTGGTTTGCTGGGTTCTGACAAAGGGACATTCTTTCCGGTTTGGGCAGAACTTTATTGGGTGGACTCGGACAAATATGGAGGAACTTTGGTTCTTAGCAGACTCTATTAAGCCTTACAAAAACCTCCCCCTTTTCACCCCTACCCACTTTCATCTTTCCGAGATGCCAAATCTGATACTGAAAGCACTTCCATTTGTAAAAAGCACAAGCAGCTGGGCTTTAGAGTTGACGCTTCTGCAGGTCAAGGTTTTAGTGTTTCACTCGTCCAGCTGGTGGTTACTGATCACCTACTCTGCTTACCCGTAAAAATATGTAAAATAAAACGTAAGAACGGAATGATACTGTTAATTACCCTTACTGGGCTCCCCTAGAGGTGAACACATGAATCACAGGTTTGTTTTAGGAGCTACTGTAAATGCAAAAAAAAGGGGGGGGGGGACCTAGCCACATATTTTTTCCTGCTTATTAAAATTATATATACATATGCCATGCGCAAAACGAAAAACGACAGGATGAATAACGTTCTCTAACGCCTGCTTCAACCACATGCCGAAGACACGGCCGTATCTTCTTTTACCCAGCACCGTCAACCCTCCGTCTTCTACAGCATGTGGCTAAGCCACAGCTAACGTTTTTGTATTCCCGGAATCCCAAAATAGTAGTTGGTACATGGTTGACACTTGATAATTATTTATTGAATAACAGAAGGCTTCAATGAATCCACATATCCAAACCAAACTCACTGCCATCGAGTCAGTTCTCACTTGCAGCAACCCTACAGGACTGAGTAGAACTGCCCCTGGCTGTTTCCAAGACAAAAGCCTCGTCTCCATTCAGTTATCCAAACATGAAGCTCAAGAAAACTAGTTCCCACTAATCAAACTCAGAAGATGAAGACCGGTAAGCCAAATTTCAACTTTATTTACTACCAGCAAGTTCCTTTTTTTTTTTTTTTGAGTTTTATTGGCATATACCTCACATCATACGATAGTTTGGTCACATCAGAAAGAGTTGTACAATCACAATCAATTTTAGAACATGTTTTTTCATTCTTGTTCTCATTATTAGCTCCTTATTTTCTCCCGCAACCTCCCCTCCCACACCCCAAGGAACCATTGATTCAGTTACTACCGTTTCCCCGAAAGTAAGACATGCCTGAAAATAAAACCTACGGTATCCCCCACAAAATAAGACTGCCCCCAAAATAAGCCCCCCTCCCCCCACCAACCTACTGTGACTCTGGACTGTAGCGGCCACAGCGCAGCCGGAGCAGAGAGGAAGTGCGAGGTCTCTTAATAAAACAATGTGTACCGTATTCTTCATGGAAAAATAAGATATCCCCTGAAAATAAGACCTAGTGCATCTTTGGGAACAAAAATGAATATAAGGCACGGTCTTATTTTCGGGGAAACGGTAACGATTTGCCTAGGTCCACAAATGTCTGCAGAGACAAATTCCTATTCTGACCTACTCTAGAGCGTCCCAGTCTCAGAAACTCACAGGGGGCGCTGTGCCTCCGCGTTGCCTTGAGGCAATTGGGAAGACCGAGCGCTTGGCTGCTACCTGGAGACCCCGAGGGAGCGAGCTAGGATCCGGGAGCTGAGCTCTTGTCTCACTTGGCTGGGATACTGAGTCCGTTTCTGAGGACATCCTCAGCTGGCAGCAGAGTGCACAAACTGCCCACCCTCACATCCCCTCCCCACCCCAAACATCAGAACTACAAACAAAATGATGTACAGAGTGTTTATAAATTCTCTGTACTTATCCTCAAAACAACCAATAAAATACCAGTTTCCAACAAACCCTATTCAGAGGTGTGTTACCAGAAGGTCAGAGCAAGAGTAATAGCACCTTGATGATACCAAGTCACCTGGAAGCACTCATCTCTACTAGATAAAGGAATGCAGCCTATAAAGCCCTTTGGGGCAACACTCAATGACATATACAACTGTGGTCCCATGAAGATTTTTTTTCTCCCAGCAACGAGGAGGTATTTGTTGAGGACATTGAGTGCCGAGCTGGGTGTCTGTTTTGAAAGGTGGTCGGCAGGATTGCCCGACTGGACTATCAAAATCTTGCTCTTGACCTCACCTTACCTGTACTTGACTGTTAATATTTTGTTGTGGTTGTTTACACCATCTTCAATGGCAATACAAATGATTACATTACCGCATCAGAAATACACAGTGTTGCCTTCCTGAGACTGGACCTGGGTGTAGTTGTTTCCGTCTGGCACCTTCATTTTTTTTTTTTTCTTGTTTCCTGGCTCATGTTATTGAAGTAGGCTTGCTAGTATATCTTACAATTAAAAAGCTGCTTTCTTTGGAATCAAAAGTATTAATTTTCTTTTGAGACTACCTTTCGTGAAGAGAAATTTGCTGGTCTGATTGGAAATTTACTCATGTAGTCCTTCAAAATTAGTTATTAAATACCTGGTGGCATAGTAGTGCTTATGAATTAGTTTGGCGCCACCAACTGCTCTGTGGGAGAAGACAAGGCTCTCGACTCCTATAGTCACAGTCTTAGAAAACCAGGGGGTGGTTCTACCCTGTCCTGTAGGGTCACTGTGAATCAGCATTGACTTGATCAAGGCAGTGAGTTGTTTGTGTTACAAAATACAGAGTTAAGTATTGTAAAGCATCAAGTCTCAAGATTTCTTGTTTGCCGTTAGAGTGCATTAGAATGTTCTTGTTCAGATTTTTATCTCGGACCAAGAATTAACTTATTGGAATGATGCTAGTTTCTCAAAATATTCCAGAAATGTTGGACAACTGGCCCTCAGGGAAGGCAGACGAGACAGAGCGGCTTGGGAAACTATCACCTCAGCAGTAGTTTGTGGTCCTACCCGCAGAGTGCTCTCAAAACCTGCAAAATTCCCAAGTCCTGGTCATTTTGACTTCAGAAATCTAAAATCTGGGTGACTTGTTCACTTATCTATTGCCGCAAAACAGAGACTTAAACACTTATTTTCCTAGATCAGTGTCTCTCACCTGGGCTCAGACGAGCAGCTCTCTCGAGGGTCTTCTGTGGTTGTATTCAAACGTTGTGGTTAAAATTAGGTTTTACGTTTAAAAGCAGGAAGTCACAAAAGCAGTGGTTCTCAACCTTCCTCATGCCATGACCCTTTCATAGGGTTCCTCATGTTGTGGTGACCTCCAACCATAACATTCTTTTCGTTACTACTTCATCACTGTCATTTTGCTACTGTGATGAATCGGGCGGCCCCTGTGGAATCAGGTGTGTGCTCGTCCTCCAAGGGCCAACCTTGCTCTCCAACACTTGAAAGAGGCCCTGTACAGATCTGCCCAAAGCAATACAGCACTTGATCTCTTAAAAAAAAGTTTTATTGGCATATACTTCATATCTTGCACAATTTAATCATTCCCTCTAAGAAGAATTGTCAAATCATCACAATCAATTTCAGAACATTTTCTTCGCATAATCACTGTTGATAGGTCCCTATTTCCCCCCATCCTCCCTGTCATGCCCCTAGGTAATTATTAATCCAGTTACAGCCATTCAATCGCTTGCCTGCCCCTTTCATGAGGACTGATTATGGGTCCAGCTTGATGAAATCTGACAACGCCAATATTTTCTCCATTTACCATCATGTTGTCCACCGGCACCGTGTGAAGATGTTTGTTTTCTGTACATGAGTGGTAGTCCATATTGATCTTGACCTTCCTCAGCAAGTGCTTCCAGTCCTCAGCGAGTGAGGCTGTGCCATCGCATATCATGGGTTGTTAAATCTTTCCCCCAACCCGATGCTGTGCTCATCTTCATGCAGTCCGGCTTCTCAGCGGATCGGCTCAGCAGAGAGATGACATAAGGATGGTGAAAGGATACAGTCCTGCTGTCAGCTGGTCGGACTCCGGAAGCTCTGTTGAAACCTGTTTGCTTTGGGTGACCCCGGCTGGTAGTTGACATACCAGGGACATAGCTTCCAGCATGAGAGCAACATGCAAGCCATCAAACGTTCGAACAAGTGGTGGAAATCCAGGCCAGCTCCTTGGTTTTTCCCTTTGAGTAGCTTGATGGGCGTCGCCACCACTCGGCTCTCTGAAGGCAGCGTCCTTTCCCTTGCCTTCCCTCCCTCATTTGGATGGTTAGTCAGGAAGTCCTGTGGATGCGGACTTCTAAGACGTTCTCAGATTGCTTTTGTCCTCTCTGACACTGCCATAATTCATGCGTGCGTTCTCGTTTAATTAATGAAATATTGACTATTAGGCACTGTGCTAAATGTTGGAATATGAATGGCATATTCCGGGCTTCCTCCTAGTCCAGCTTTCTAAGTGAACCCCTGCAGATCACAGCTTCTCACACAGAAAATTCCTCCTGAGGCTCTTGTTACGGGGCTGGCGGACTTAACAGGTGTGGTGTGTGGCCTGAGAGTCCGCATTTCTAGCTAGCTTCACTCATGGGTGAACACCTTTGCGTATCAGGGCGGTAGAACCTCTAGAAGAACCGTCTATATAAAAATGTATTATTTGTGGACTGTCCCTAAAGGGATACTTCCACAAACAATCCTGAAGAACAGCGACTGGTCATTGCATACACTTTCATAAAAGTGTTGTCACCAAGTAAGTGCATTATGTATTTGAAAACGGGAAGACAAAAGACAAAAACTACCTGAAACTTGTGAGCAGTTGTATAGTTGCTTCGGTTTATGTCAGCCCCTTTTCGGACGAGTCCGTCTGTGAGCGTGAGGTCTTCATAGTAGGCATGGGCTTGGGTAAAGTTCCCACGGGGGCCAAATCCCAGCGCAGGGGAGCACCTACCACAGGGAGATGTGCCTGCCCCTCTAGGGCCCACTGGCGAGAGAGTGACCGCTTTACGTTTAACCTCGGAATTCCCCTTTTTGTTCCACTCATCCCCCTGAAGGGGAAGTTGTTTACAGGGCCCCTCTTCGCTACGGGATTGTGCGCGCTCTGAGAACAAGGCTGGCGCTTAGGTCTAGCACAGAAGGAAGCGCAGTGCCCCCAAGTGCGTTCTGACTCCAACTGCACGCGGTAGAGCGAGTAGAATTGCTATGGGCTATCTTTTCGGAAGCCGTCGGCCCATCTTTCTCCTGCTGAGTGTCTGTCCGACAGGTGTGCACCGCCAACGTTTTAAGGCGCCGAGCGCTTTAAACTCTGCGCCCCAGGAATCCTAGCACAGAATGAGGGGTTCTGACACTGTCCAGCCTAAGAACGGAGGGATTGGATCCAAGGGGCTCCCTGGAAGGAAA